CAGCTCCTGCTGAGCCAGAGACACCCAAGGGGTCTCCGGGTGACCGGGACACGACGGTGCCGCCGTCCCCTGAGCAGGCCAAGAACGCGCTGGCGCACGCGCTGCAGTCGGCCCGGCACGACGGGGACCTGCTGCGGGAGCAGTACGAGGAGGAGAGCGAGGCCAAGGCCGAGCTCCAGCGCTCGCTCTCCAAGGCCAACTCCGAGGTGGCCCAGTGGAGAACCAAGTACGAGACTGACGCCATCCAACGCACCGAGGAGCTGGAGGAGGCCAAGTGAGTCACGGCGCCCTGGGTGGGGATCGTGTGGGGTCAGAGGGGTGGAGAGCAGCCACTGGAGAAGGGTCTGGAGAAGGTTTTGAGGTTTTGGAGCAGGCCAAGTGAGTCATCATCCCATTCATGGAGCTTCTGTGGGGGTCAGAGGGGTGGAGACCATGCACTGGAGAAGGTTCTAGAGAAGGTTCTGGAGGTTTCAGAGGTTGAGCCACCTCCCCATGGACGGCTCCTGTGGGGTCAGAGTGGAGAGCACTCACTGGAGAAGGTTCTGGAGAAGGTTCTGGAGGAGGCCAAGTGAGTCATGACCCACGGATGGAGATGCTGTGGGGTTGGGGAGGTGGAAACCACCAGAAAAGGATCTGGAGAAGGTTCTAGAGGTTGAGCCACCTCCCCATGGACGACTCCTGTGGGGTCAGGGGTGGAGATCACCACAGGAGAAGGTTCTGGAGAAGGTTCTGGAGGTTTCAGAGGTTGAGCCACCTCCCCATGGATGACTTTTATGGGAACCACCCCCTGGAGAAGGTTCTGGAGCGAGCAGAGTGACCTGGAGATGGTAGAGGAAGTGCAGAGCAGAACCTTGACCCATGGCCGGGTGGGAGAAGGTTTGAGCTGCCCCACCTGGCCCGTGGGTGAGCCCAGGTGGTCCCTGGGGCAGGAAGAAGCTGGCACAGAGGCTGCAGGAGGCCGAGGAGGCCGTGGAGGCCGTCAACGCCAAATGCTCCTCGCTGGAGAAAACCAAGCACCGGCTGCAGAACGAGATCGAGGACCTGATGGCCGACGTGGAGCGCTCGAACGCCGCGGCCGCAGCCCTGGACAAGAAACAGAGGAATTTCGACAAGGTGGGCGGGCGTGGCAGGTTGGGGGGTGGCGGGGCGGGGCGGGGCCAGGTGGCTGCGAGGTGACACCTGGATGTCCCCAGGTGTTGGCCGAGTGGAAGCAGAAGTTCGAGGAGTCGCAGACGGAGCTGGAGGCGTCGCAGAAGGAGGCCAGGACACTCAGCACCGACCTCTTCAAGCTGAGGAACATCTACGAGGAGTCCCTGGAGCACCTGGAGACCTTCAAGAGGGAGAACAAGAACCTCCAAGGTGACACCACAGGTCCCCACCCTGTGCCCACCTGGGCGTTCCCCCCCATTCCCATGGGGTCTGATGGGGATCTCACCTGGGCAGAGGAGATCTCAGACCTGACCGAGCAGCTCGGTGCCAGGTTGGGTTGGAATGAAGAGTCTCCACGTGGTTGGGTTGGGTTGAGTTGGGTCCACGTGGTTGGGTTGGGTTGAAATGAAAAGTCTCCATGTGGTTGGGTTGAGTTGGGTTGGGTTGAGCTGAAGAGTCTCCACATGGTTGGGTTGAGTTTGGTTGGGTTGAAATGGAGTCTCCACCATGGTTGGGTTGAGTTGGGTTGAGTTGGGTTGGGTTGTGTTGAGTGCAGCATTGCGTAGACCCCACCCAGGGACACCTTCCAGTTCAGGTGACCCCAAACCCCGTCCCCCCCGTTCCCACGGGGTCTGACGGGGATCTCACCTGGCCAGAGGAGATCTCTGACCTGACCGAGCAGCTCGGCGCCGGCAACAAATCCATCCACGAGCTGGAGAAGATCCGCAAACAGCTGGACGCCGAGAAGCTGGAGCTCCAAGCCGCTCTGGAGGAGGCCGAGGTGGGACAAACCTCCCTGTCCCCTCCAGGTGTGACACCCACCCTCCGTCCCCCTCAAGGTCCTCTCTGTCCCCACCCCAGGCCTCGCTGGAGCACGAGGAGGGGAAGATCCTGAGGGCGCAGCTGGAGTTCAACCAGGTGAAGGCGGAGTACGAGCGGAAATTGGGCGAGAAGGAGGAGGAGATGGAGCAGGTGAAGCGCAACCACCTGCGCGTGCTGGAGTCGCTGCAGACGTCGCTGGACGCCGAGACCCGGAGCCGTAACGAGGCGCTGAGGCTGAAGAAGAAGATGGAGGGCGACCTCAACGAGATGGAGATCCAGCTGAGCCACGCCAACCGCGGCGCCAACGAGGCCCAGAAGCAGGTCAAGGCTCTGCAGGGTTACCTGAAGGTACCTGTCCGCGAGCGGGGAGGGGTGGGAGGGGCCTGTCCATGGGGACATGGAGGTACCTGGAGGTTCCTGTCCATGGAGATCTTGGTGTGTTGGAGGTTCCACCACCCAACTGGGATGGTTCAATGGACCCACCACCCCCTTCTGGTCACCCCATAGCCAGGTGATCCCATCACCCCATAGCCAGGTGATCCCATCACCCCATAGCCAGGTGGTCCCATCACCCCATAGCCAGGTGATCCCATCACCCATGGCCAGGTGATCCCATCACCCCATAACCAGGTGATCCCACCATCCCATAGCCAGGTGATCCCCCCACCCCATGGCCAGGTGATCCCACCACCCCATGGCCAGGTGATCCCCCCACCCCATAGCCAGGGGATCCCACCACCCCATAGCCAGGTGATCCCCCCACCCCATAGCCAGGGGATCCCACCACCCCATAGCCAGGTGATCCCACCACCCCATGGCCAGGTGATCCCCCCACCCCATAGCCAGGTGATCCCACCACCCATGGCCAGGTGATCCCCCCATCCCATGACCAGGTGATCCCACCACCCATGGCTAGGTGATCCCCCCATCCCATAGCCAGGTGATCCCATTATCCCATGGCCAGGTGATCCCCTCACACGATAGCCAGGTGATACCACCACCCCATGGCCAGGTGATCCCATCACCCATGGCCAGGTGATCCCATCACCCCATGGCCAGGTGATCCCATCACCCCATGGCCAGGTGATCCCACCACCCCATAGCCAGGTGATCCCACCACCCCATGGCCAGGTGATCCCACCACCCCGATCCCACCCCCCAGGACACCCAGGTGCAGCTGGACGCGGCGGCGAGCTTCGGGGAGGAGCTGAAGGAGAACGTGGCCATGGTGGAGCGCAGGAACGCGCTGCTGCAGGCGGAGCTCGAGGAGCTCCGTGCTCTGGTGGAACAAACCGAGAGGGCTCGGAAATTGGCCGAGCAGGAGCTGATCGAGGCCAGCGAGAGGGTCCAGCTCCTCCACTCACAGGTGAGACCTCACCTGCCTGCCAGGTGAGCGGCCACCTCCGGCCAAGGATGGGGCAGCCCAGGAGAAACAGCTCTGGGTGCTCGGTTTGGGGACCTCGAGGTGGCTCGGAGCGGTGTGGAGTCCACAGGCCCAACTTCTCCTGAAGGGTTGGGTTGGTCTAAAGAAGGTCCAAGAAGGGTTGGGTTGGTC